GTTCAGCCTACTGGGGAAACCAATGGACAGGAGACTGGCAGTAGCCGGATCAGTCCTAGTTCAGCACCCTGGAGCAGTCGGGGGGTGGGGGAATGGCAGTGGTAGTGTAGGGTATGCAAGCAATCAGATCAGTCTTATTTTGGCCCCACCAGAGTAGCTGGGGGGAGTGTAGGACTCCCGGCGGGGGTGCACTAAGCTCTAGCAAGTACTTCTGTGGCTGCCCAGAGCAGGGGAACTCCACTCTGGCGACCCGCCGCCCGCGAGGCTCCCCACATTTCCATCCTGTCTTGCTCGTTAAGGAATGTGCTTAACTCTGGTTAGTAAGACCTCAGTAATGGATCAGGGCTGAGTACAGTAAAATAATATGCCCAGCTCAGGTGTCTGCATTTGGTGGGTTCCTATGAACAGCTTTTTTTACAAATGATGTTGGTATGAAAGTTTAGCTCTTATCTTCGTTTCCATTTACAGATTGCTGAACAGAGGTTCGGAATCAACATCCCACACAAATTCAACATCCACAACTACAAAGTGCCAACGTTCTGCGACCACTGTGGCTCCCTGCTCTGGGGGATAATGCGGCAAGGACTGCAGTGTAAAAGTGAGAGGCTGAGGTGCTGGGTCCCCGCTTGCTCGTGGGAACACCGTGCTGTACACTGTGGGAAGCCGAGACACATAGAATCTGACCCCAGACTAATGGTTTTAGATACAGCATGAATTAATTTCTCAGCAGTGTTATCCTTTTATGTCAGGCATGAAAAGAGAAGTGTCTGGTCCCTGGATTTCTTAATCATAGAACATTGAGTCCAATGTTAAATTCAGTGATTCATCTCGCCAGCTGGCTACCAAGTACAGATCAGGCAGTGTGTATTTTAAAAGGTATTTGGAAGAGGAAGAAAATGGGGTCCTGGTCAGAAATGGAAGATGGTAGGAGGTGAAGTGGCCAAGTGAGAAGGTTGGATTAAGAGCAAGAATGGGCAGGAGCGTGGGTCTGATAAGAATTAAGCAGGAGTGAATTGTCACAGCATAAAGAGAATTTCCCTGAGTCTTCTGAAACACAGACGGGAGGTGGGGGTGGAGTGAAGGACCCCAAAGCTCTAGCTGTGGCCTGCAGTCACTAACTGTGCCTAGTGGAGGCAGAGTCTGGAGCTTCTGGGTTGGCCACACCTGAGGGAGAGAGGGCTGAGCCCTGTCCTGATAGGGGTTGGCACTATCAGCCTTGAGTCATCTCCCACTGAGGTGTAATGCTCTGGCTGCTGGGGGGCGGGGGGCCCTCACCGGAAGCCTTACCAGATGTGCCCTGAGTCCCTGGTGAGGAGAGCAGTGGGGAAGGGAGAGTTGGTGTGAGTGGAACCGGACAACTTCCACTGGCTGCCCGGACTCACTGGCCTGCTGCTGTCAGCAAAGAGGGATCAGTCAGTTGCCTCTGAGAAGGGAAGAATTCTCCCTTCCTGTAGAAGACCACTTAACAATTCCCAATTCCCTCACCCACGTGTCCAGCCTGGTGAGCACACACGGCCTTCAGGGCTTTGGCTCAGGACCCGCCTCAGCTGGTCCCTGGGTGTGGGTTCCCCGGGTGTGAGGGCCCTTTCTCCTTTGGTATACCTGGCACACCTGTTGCTGATGTGCAGAGCCGTGGGGGGGCTTGTCCATCTTGCCATCCCTGGTGGCCGAGGGCAGTGTTCCTGCAGTGGTCCAGCTCCTCTAACTTTTACGTGTTGGTTTTGTTTTTTTGTTTTATTTTTGAGATAGTCTCGCCCTGCCACCCTGGGTAGAGTGTGCTGGTGTCACAGCTCCCAGCAACCTCAAACTCCTGGGCTCAAGTGATCCTCTTGCCTCAGCCTCCTGAGTACCTGGTGCCCACCACCACGCCTGGCTAGTTTTTCTAATTTTAGTAGAGATGGGTCTCACTCTTGTTCAGGTTGAACTCCTGAACCCGTGAATACCCACCACAGCCTCCCAGAGTGCTGGGATTACAGGCCTGTGCTACTGCCCAGCCCCACGTGGTGGTTTTGAAAGGCCAGTGGAGGTGTCTGTACTGAGGGCCTGTCTTCCTAAGAGAGGTGGTCCCCCATGAGTTCAGCTAAAGAAGCCCACATCTCAGGGCTGCTCTCTCTCAAGGGCACCTACCAGAGCTTGCTACCTGCTTTGGTATTCTCTCCCTAAAGAGGCCCTCCTAAATTACATAAATTCATAAATACAGCTCCATAAAACCTGGATCTGTGTGTTTGCAAAACACACAGGCTGACTCCACAAAGCGGGAATTTGTTGTTCACAGTCTCGTGTTTACTGTGTTGTCATCAGGGCTGTGTCAAGAAACTATCTCAGAATTTATTTCTGCTGCTGATGCCTCAGATCCTTCACCTTCCTATTTCAGCTCCCTCTGTGCCAGGAACTTAGCTTGTTTGGTTCACCTCATCCAGCTGCCCTTTACACTGACCTTCAAAAAGCAGTAAAAGTTGCCTCCTCCCCCCGACCCCCAGCCCCCATGAAGCAGTTAGAACCACAGGCTGTGAACCCACAGCCTGCAGGGTGCCTGCCTCTGTGGGGGAGGGCTGCCCGGCCACAGCAGTGCACAGAAAGAAAGCTCCTTGTCGGGGTTTCTCTTAGAAATACCATTTCCATTCTGTTTAAAGTGGCCTATGAATATAGGTGGCATTAGACTGCTGCCATTTACAGCTCTCATGAGCGATAGAGGGGAAAGGATACAGTCAGTTGACGTGATTCTTTGTTATTTAATTGCCTGCAAATTATTACTGTGATGAACGGTTTGATCTTTGTTGGGTCATACTAAGTCAGCAATGGCTGTCACGTGTGATCTAGATGAATGTGCTTCATCAAGTCAAGGTAAAAAAAAGTGTTTGGAATCTATTATGCGCTAGTATGCCAGGCTTTCTGCCTCTGTACAAAACAGAAATAGGTAAAATATCAGCAAGTGTCATTAGTGTGAGTTTGATTTTACGAAAAAATGTCCTAGTTCCACCTGCATAATTCCTCTTTCCTCGTCTTTCGGCTTGTGAAAGTTCTCTGCTCTCTGCCCTGTGGGGTGGCATTGTCCTTTCTGAATGTTCCCTCTTCTTCTGAGTGTTCCTGTCCTTCTGAATTCCTTTCCCTCTTCCTTCTAGTCTGTAAAATGAATGTGCACATCCGATGTCAAGCAAACGTGGCCCCTAACTGTGGGGTGAACGCCGTGGAGCTGGCTAAGACCCTGGCAGGGATGGGTCTCCAACCCGGAAATATTTCCCCAACCGCGGTGAGTTTTTTTCCATATACCATAATTTAGAGGTTGTTCAGAAGTGGGAGCCCAAGTGAGAACGTCATCAAAGTTCCCAGTCTAAGCAAATAAGAGAAACAGATTTATTGTCTTTTTAAGAGAATGTGTTCCACAAATACAATTCTATATACAGTTATATTACAAGAAATAAGCAGGAAGCAGGAGCACAATGTTTTTCTTCGTCAGCTTCCTGTCAGTGTGGTCTGGTGAACGCCTAGAACCCAGGGGCTTGGATTATGCTCTTGGCAGGAACTGGGCAGGACAGTAACTTCAGGCCTCAGCTTTCTTATCTCTAGAGGGGTTCAGCTAGAAGATCTCTGAGGTTCTCTGCAGCCTTGGACTCTTAACAGCTCTGCAGTTTTTGTTTATGGATTGTGAATTTATCTCTTGCATTCAGCAATGATAGAAGTCACTTCCTCTGGGCTCTCAGGACTGGGTGGAGTTGTGGCAGTTGCTGTGGATGGGTTTTGTCACGCACCATCCCTGAGCAACCTCTACCTGCTGATGTCCATTATGGCTGCGGCCACTGACCCGGCCATGTGTTATTGCTGGGCAGGATCTGCAGAGAGCTGGGGACAATCGTGACTGTGGCTATGGGACCTGGAAGGTATAGCTTGATGTCTGGTTCAGGAAGATTCTAGACTTAACTATTGAATAATCTCTGGGGACTGAGGAAGGGAAGTGTGGTCACTATGGAGTTCATGGCAATTCAGAAAATGTCAGCACCAGCCACCTCATTTCCTTTTTGTCAGAAGGTTCCTGCCTAGTACAGCAGGGACTTTTATTGAAAATGTATCTTTTGATTTCAGGAAAGCTCTAGAAAAGTCCATCGAGTGTGTGTTGAGGGTGGGCAGGCAGGGTGCTAGTGCAGTGGACGGGGTTTCCAGTGATGGGACAGCTATTCCCAAAGGGCAGAGATGAAGGGTGTGACCTGAGCCAGGCTCTCTGCAATGCACTGGCCCCAGCAGGAGGGGCCATGTGGCACCATCGTTAGGAATGGGCAGTGCCACTTATCATTTGAACCAAGTATGTTTAATAATATATTTAATAGTAGGAAAGCCAGAATTATTTGTTACTTGGCAGTACAGGGCTGCAAAAGAGAGAATTTTAAGAATGAGTTTAAAAAGGGGTTGAGAAACTGGCTTTGAGTTTTCTGGCCAGTTCCAGCCTGACCAGGGGACGTATTTAAGTAGAGGAAGTGATGTGAAATTCAAGTTGGTGAAACTTTTCTGTCCTTGTAGAATTTATGAGAGGTCTAGGAGAGAAGCCATTAGAACCTTTGGACTTTGAAGACGATCCATTTCATATCTCACTCTCACTGTTTTACTTGGTTAAGTAAAACTCCTTATAGTTTCAGGCTGGTGCATGGTTGGTTTATTGCAAACGTTGCCCCAGATAAGCTTACTTTTTAGCTAAATAGGTCAAAAGCTCCAGGATGTTAGACTTTTAATCTGTCATCTCGTGGTAGCTTGTGCTGCAAATGTCTCAAGGTGAACATCTGCAAAAGTCACTTTACCTTTGGCCCTTTAGTACAGTTCCTATGGGTCGCGACCCACAGTGGGTGGGACTGGATGGTCCACTGAGGCAGCCGCACTCACTCCCCCTTTGCAGGGGAGAAACTGTAACTCTCCTTGTGCTGGTGGGAGTTCTCAGTCAGTCAGTCAGTCTTCATAGAAGGCAAGTTGGCCGGCGTGTGTCAGAAGTCTTCAAGGTTAACATTTTGGCCCATGGAATTCCATTTGCAGGCAGTTATCTTAAGGAAGTTGATGATGCTGACAACACAGCTGAAGCGTATCAAATGTGCCAGGCACCAGTGTAAGAGCTTTATGAGCATTTGTTCATTAGGCCTCCTAATAACCCCTGTAGCAGGTACTAAGAGGAAACTGAGGAAGGGAGGGGCTGAGTAGGGAATTTGCTCAAAGTCACAGGGCAGGTTGCAGGGCTGTTATTTGGTTGGTTGGTTGGTTTTTGGAGACAGAGTCTAGCTGTGTCACTCAGGTGAGAGTGCAGTAGTATCATCACAGCTCACACCAGCCTCAACCTTCTGGACTCCAGTGATCCTCCTGCCTCAGCCTCCAGAGTAGCTGGGACTACAGGTACCCACCACAATGCCCAGCTAAGTTTTCTATTTTTAGTAGAGATGGGGCTTTGCTCATGCTGGTCTTAAACTCCTAAGCTCAAGTGTACCTCTGCCTTGGCCTCCCAGAAATTCTAGGAATACAGGCGTGAGCCACCACACCTTATCTGCAGAGCTGTTATTTGATTTCAGGAAGCTTCCTTCAGAGCATGAACACTTCTCTTTAATTTTCTTTTTAGACAGGGTCTTACTCTGTTTCCTGGGTCAGATTACAGTGGCATAACATAGCTCACTGCAACTTTGAACTCCTAGGCCCAAATAATCCTTCTGCTCTGGCTGTCTGAGTAACTGGGACTACAGGCTCAAGCCATGATGCCTACCTTATTTTTAAAATTTTTTGTAGAGAAGGAACCTTGCTATCTTGCTCAGCCTGGTCTCAAACTCCTAGCCTTAAGCAATCTTCTGCCTTGGCCTCCTCAAGTGCCAGGATTACAGCCATGAGCAGCCACCATGCTCAGCCCAGAACCTGAACTCTTAATCACCCTGTTTTGAAGATTTGTATGCAAATATGTTTACTATGGGGTTATTTATTATAGTGAAAAACAGAAGATGACCTGTATTTCCAATGCAAGGGAATTAATGAATTGTGATGTATCTGTGAAATAGAATGTTTGAACAGCCATTAAAACTCATGTTCTGGAAAGTTACTTAGAGATCTGGAAAATTCAGATGACAGTTTTTAAATAGAAATGTGTGTTCTGAAGTAATTTGATTACATAAAAAAATTAACAAAGTATAAATATATGTGTTATTTAAGTGTATATATTCAGAGGAGGGACAGCTGACATTTTAGGTATTTTTAGTCTTATCCTTTTGGTAATTGTTTCTCAATTTTATATTGAATTTGTATTTATTTTATCTAATTTAAAACGTTGTATAAAGGACGTTTCATTCATTCTTGTCCTGATGCTTAGTGGTTCTTGATTCTCTGAGCACACATGAAACTTGCTTTGCAAGAAGTGAACACTAGATGGAGCTCTTGGAATCTGACTGCCTCGTGGAAGTCACGGCGGGGAGTAAAGAAGGTGCCTGGGTTTCGGTGCTCAATGTTGAGTGCAGACTGTAACTCTGTGGCTTTAGATGTACTTTGAAATGATTTTTGTCCACTACCTATAAGTACAGACCAGAAACTCATGCAGAGGTTGTTCTGAGTTGGAGAACCTGATCACCTGTCAAGCCATGAGTTTTTCCCACATGTTATGCTGAGGGTTGAGACTCTCCCCGGCCAGGAGAGGTCTTTTTGGTTTTCATGCTATGGTTTCCGACACGATGTATTCCTGTTCTTCTTTGCAGAAACTGGTTTCCAGATCAACCCTAAGAAGACAGGGAAAGGACAGCAGCAAAGAAGGAAATGGGATTGGGGTCAGTTCTTCCAGCCGACTCGGTATTGACAACTTCGAGTTCATCCGAGTGCTGGGGAAGGGGAGTTTTGGGAAGGTGAGTCTTGGGTTTAACTGATGAGGTTGGAGTAAGCATGTTGCGTGTGTGTTGCGGGTGTGGGTCTGCGTGTCCCGTGCATACATGTAAGTGTGAGCGTATGTATACTGCTCACGGCTGCTCACATGTCATCCTCTTTCTTCCCTGGTGCCTGCTCCTTAAAAACCAAGAGAACATCCTCACCTCTCCCTTCATGCTTTGCTTAGGTGATGCTTGCAAGAATAAAAGAAACGGGAGACCTGTATGCCGTGAAGATTCTAAAGAAGGACGTGATCCTGCAGGATGACGACGTGGAGTGTACCATGACCGAGAAAAGGATCCTGTCTTTGGCCCGCAATCACCCCTTCCTCACTCAGCTGTTCTGCTGCTTTCAGACCCCTGTAAGTATGAAGCAGCCTCGCCCCCGACTCAAGGCCCTCTCTTCTGGAAGAGGTGAGAACCTAAGATGTCGAAGGCTTCAGAAAGTCAAATAGCAAAAAGCATTTTCAGGTGGGCTTCCAAGGCAGGGCCATGTAAGGTGCTGGTGACTTCTGACCACCTTCAGGGAGAAAGACGGAAGCTGCTGAATTCAGCCCTTCCTTCATGCTGCTCTGGGAAAGGATCACCCTGAGGGTCGTAAGGTCTTCATACAGGAGTCTTCTCTAGGTGAAGGGAAGGTGAGTGAAGGTTACGGAAGTCGAAGAGTGGAGGGAATGTCTCGAGCTGATTATCTTGGTAAAGTTGGCAATGACTGTGCTCCCAGATTCTGGACTGGTTCTGACCAGGGCATTAGAGTTCAGAAGAGGGGTCTGAGAGGACATGGAGAGGCATCTTGACTTGAAACAGCCCAAGGCATTGCTCCTGGCCTTGAATGAAGACTTTGCTGGACACCACGGACTTGTCTTGGGATTTGAATCTATCCTCCCAGTAACGGTGCCCATTTAGGAATCCTTCTGACCAGTTCATGGAACAGGTGACCAGCAGTACTTTAGACAATAAGCAGAACAGACGGGTTAGTTCACCAGCACAAACTTCTTTCTTGTTTCACATAATGAGAAGTCTGGTGGTAACGGTGGTGGGGTTGATTCCTGGCTCTGTGATATTGGGCACATCTTTCCCTTGGGGTCTCAGGTATCTGCTGCAGTCTGAGATGTCACACCTTGTCATGCGGCATCCAGAACAGAAAGCACAGGGGCAGAGGCTGGATGGCTGCACGGGCCACTCTCCTTTTGTCAGGGGGGAAAGATCTTTCCTAGACTTGGGTTGACTGCTCTTAGCAGCAAGCGAGGCTGGAACAGTAAATATCTGGCCAGGACAAGCTGGTGCACCATGACTGGCTTGCACCAACTTTGGTTTGTGTTCTGGGGCAGGCATTCTGCTGTCCATTTCGAATCCGACTCAAAACTGTGCTCCTGGTATCAGTGAAGAGGGAAAGTGACTCCTGAGAAGGCACCAAGAAGGTCTGTGTCCTACTGCTATCCGAGGCATCCTGGGCGCACCCCTGAGCTGGGCCGCCTCCCGAGGTTATGGGGGAGCCGGATCAGGGCACCTGATCTAGTCAGGGAGTCTGGCAATATATTTCTAGGGGAACTTATGCAAAGTTGGAACCAGAAGGATAAGTTTAGGATTAGGAAAAGAGAATAAAGGTGAATGTGCCACTTCGGGCCAGCAGCACAGCTGCAGGTGATGAGATGGGGCAGTGAGTCTGAGGAAAGCTCAGGCGTGTGGTGTATGGAGGAAGGGCCTGGCAAGAACAGAGGCCGACAAGGTGGGCCAGCCCCGGCCTTGGCAACCCTTGCCACTGTGTTAGTGGGTTTAGATTTTAGTGTTAAGAGCAATAGGAAGTCATGGAAGAAATTGAAGCAGAGGAGTGACATATGGGATTGCATTTTTTTAACTATAAAAAATGACTTTCTTGTAATAGATAATGCAAGCAACCTCCAAATAGCCACATTGTTTCCCTGAAAGAAACAATTATTACTAATTTCATTTGTAGCCTTTCAGAGAATTTTTTACATATAAAGAATATACGCACACCTTATATATCCATAAATATTTATCTTAAAAGCCAAATGGTAGTTAGTGTACATTGCCCATGATTCTAAACTTTATTTTAAAAAATAGTAATAACATATCTTGGAAAGAGTTTTGTGTCTGTACACACTAGGCTGCCTCATTTTTAATGGCTGCATACTTTTCCATTTTAAGGACATAGCACAATGTATTTAACTTGTTTTCTATAGCTATATGTTAAGCTATAGACTTTCACTCAGGTCAGAGCTGCAGAGATCCCCTTTGTACTTTCTTCTTTGTGTGCTTTGCTGGTATTTCTGTAGCTGCATTATTAGAAGTAGTATTGCTTGGTCAAAGGCTGTGTGCACTTCACATTTTGGTTGGATACGGTCGCCCCTCTTCCTCATCATGGTTGAAGACAGCTAACATTTATTGCCCATCCACCAGGCATTGTTCTCCATTACCTCATTGAATCCTTACAGCAACCCTATGAAGAAGGTTCTGTTAATTATCACCCCATTTTACAGATGAGAAAACTGAGGCATGAGGAAGTTTAGGCCCTAAGTGGCAGAGCGGGTTTGGAAACCAGGCAGTCTGACTGCAGCACCCAGCAGGCTCTTCCCCACTCACTGGCTAAGCTGCGTCTCTCCATTCAGACTTCCCAGTGTGCGAGTGAGAAGGCCTCCCACCCCTCATCACTGCATGCTAGCATTTTGATAATCTGAAAGATTTAAAAATGCTATCTTTGAAGTCAGCATCTGCATTTCTCTTGTCTGTGAGAGAAGCTGAACAAATGTTTTCATCCTTTTGAGCATCACTTATGTTCAGATCTAAGCTGGGCAGCATAGATGTGCTTCCCAGAGTGGAGAACGGGTGGATCTGGGAGGCCTGGAGGCCAGGAGCCAGGACAATGTGTTGGAGAGGTGCACGGCCTGGGCTCCCACACTGCCCACTCGTATCTGAGAAAACTGGGAGACGGACCCTGGCTTCTAGGGCCTCTGCCCCTGCACTCTTCCCACCTTCCCCTCGTGGTCTGGGCTCCTTGTGGCTCCTCCTTATCCATCCTGTGCAGCTCCTGACAGCCCTGGGGCCCCACCTCCTCTCCTTGCTTCTCTGCTTTCCATGTGTATGGCCCTTGCTTTCTCCATAGCTCCAGTTTTCCCTGCCCTACACTGCTGCCTGGATCGTCCTTGAAACTATTTCCTGTGCTCTGCACTTTGCCGCTGTAAAGCCCGCCGCTGCTCCACCCCCACCCACACACAGCTGTTTTGGGGAGAGAAGTAGGGTCTTGAGAGAGGGACAACTGGCAGAGGACACTAGTCGCCCACCTGAGTTTCCAGCCTCCCAAATATCACCATGAGCACCACCATGAAGCAGCAGAGCCAGGTCCCACTCACATCACCCTCCTCCTCCTGAGCCGGCCAGGGAGTCCATCCTATGGCATGAGTTCAGAGAATGTCTTAACCAGCCGGTAACCTGAGTCAAGCAGTCGGACTGGTACTTGGTGAGCCCAGTCTGGTCGTACAGCAGCTATTGTTCCAAGCAAATAAAGAAGTGTCTGGGCTCGGCGCCTATAGCTCAACCGGCTAAGGCGCCAGCCACGTACACCTAAGGTGACGGGTTCGAATCCCCAGCCCGGACCCGCCAAAACAACAATGACGGCTGCAACCAAAAAAAAAAAAAAAAAAGCCGGGCGTTGTGGTGGGCGCCTGTGGTCCCAGCTGCTTGGGAGGCGGAGGCGGGAGACTCGCTTGAGCCCAGGAGTTGGAGGTTGCTGTGAGCTGTGATGCCACGGCACTGTACCCAGGGGGACAGCTTGAGGCTCTGTCTCAAAAAAAAAAAGAAGTGTCTTATGCCAACTTCAGGGGAATTTTACCTACAAAAGGAAACTCCTGTGATTCTAATAAGCAGTGAAAGTACTCAGCGGCAATTAGATTGCATTATGGCAAAGTAGAGCAAGAAACTGACTTGGAACAGATCAAGAGCCCAATGAGCATAGTATATAATAGCAGGTTTTCAGAAAAATACATAAAGTATATAATACGTTAAAGTTTTAGTGGCCATTTGGGATTCCATGCATTTGGCATTAACATTGATGAAATCTGTTTTTTTCTAGTGAAAGTTTTATGTTTGGCCACAAGGTGGCAGTCGTTACTGCAAAGTAATTTTTATTTCTCTACCAGCTCTGGGCAAGCTCCAACTCCTGAGCTCAAGGAATTCTCTCGCCTTGGCCTCCTGAGTAGCTGGTACTATAGGCGCCCTCCACAATGCCCAGCTGTTTTTAGACACAGGGTCTCAGTCTTGGTCAAGCTGGTCTCAAACTTGTGTGCTTAGGCAATCCACCTGCCTCAGCCTCCCAGAGTGCTGGGATTACAGGCGTGAGCCACCTCACCTGGTAAGCAAAATCTCTGTGAGGGTCTAATGAGAGGAATACTTTGTACATAGGCAGCGCTGCTCCAAAGTGAGTAAATCTAGTGTGGTAATGAGCCCCTCCTTCCCCACACCAAAGAAGAATGTCCTGGGCACCTGTGGGCAGCATAGACCTCCACATGGGAGGGAGAGCAAACACCCAGAAAGCTGGAATTTTAGAGTTCCTTTTGTTGTTGGCGAACAGAAAGCAATAAGCCAGTTTCAAACATTAATGTGTCAAGTTTGCAACATAGGTTCATGAACCCCAGAAATTGTTCTTCCTAATTGTTTTCATAATAATTGCTTGTAAGTATATGGTTAAATGGCATTCTGGTACATTTCCAATAGCACTGCAAATCCTGATGATTTGTGAATATTTTGATAATCTGGTCAAAATTTATAAAAATGTTTATACTTTTAGATCTGTTGATTTTATTTCTGATAATCTAGCTTATGAAAATAATATAAGACTAAATAAATACTACGTATAAAAGATGTTTAATTTTTAGTGCATTGTTTATTTTTACTTATTTTGTTTGTTTGTTTTTACCAGCGTCACTTTAACCTTGTCCCCCCTCCCTTCTAGCCTCTGGTAGCCACCATCCTGCTCTCTGCTTGTATGAGTTTGACTTTGTGGATTCCACATGTCACGGAGATCACGCAGCGTTTTCTTTCTGTGCCGGGCTTATTTCACGTAACAGAATGTCCCTCGGGTTCATCCTGTTGCACACGACAGGACCCCCTTTCGTTGTAGAGGCTGAGTAGTATTCGCTTGTGTCTGTTCTTCACATTTTCTTTGTCCACTGCTGAACACTTAGAATGATTACAGATCTCGGCTGTTGTGAATAACGACGTGGCGATGGTGAGTGTTCAGATAATCTCGACCACGTGTGGATTTCATTTCCACCCCATAGTGGAAGTGCTGGATCACAGGGGAGCTCTATCTGGAATGTTGTGAAGAGCTCCAGACTGGTTTCCA